AAATGTAATGATGGAGTTTTCAGTCCCAGTTTTGTAGCACTGCGAGAAGTGCTTGCTGAATTGTTCGCATATAGCATTCGGGTCGTTAACAATGCTTCCGTTAACTATGAAGAATTTAGTCGTGCCAAGGGAATTTGACTTCACACGGGATTTAAAAAGTCGAGGTATTGATAATTCTGGGCTTTTACTACGTAGAGCTTTATTTTCTATATTCATGAAATACTTACGTTTAGATGAAGCATTTCTGTCGATTAATTTAAGTATACTCTGAAGTGCATGCACATCATTCTGCTCATAGTAGCGGTATTTTAATTACCTCAGCTTTCTTTTAAAAGTATTTTGGCCCCCATTAGCATTATAAGCCACACGGCCAATAACTGGAGCAGTGCAGTTGAGACAATATATCAGGTTGTGGTATAGATTGGAAAGCGCAATGTCAACATTATTTGTGGTAAAATAAGTTTCCCATGGTAAACATTGAATGAGAGTTTCGGTCCGTTTCCATGTTTGTTGATCGAAATGTCTGCTCTGGTACGTCATTGAAGCTTTAGAGTTCAATTGTATGGCGTTTAAAGAGTGAATAATACTCAATATAATTCTATGGTCACTCATAAAAAACTCATGACTGGTATGCACTGAGATAGAGTCTATGTTGATTGTGAACATTAAATCAAGTGTATTATTCCCCCTGGTTGGTTTTCGGACCTGTTGAACCCATCCACAAATTTCTAATATTTCAACTAGCTTGTTATATCGACCTGGTACCGGAGTCAAGCCCCATGTAATTTTTGGCAGATTAAAATCACCTCCGATGATTTTAAAAGTATGCGGTTGGTGCGAAGCAATGGAAAATATGTTTGTTAGTAATCTGTCAAACTTAGTATCCACATGAGGTGGTCTATATATGCATCCCACCAGTAAATAATTTTGGGATCCACAGTTTACAGTAACCCAAGTGGAGTCGTCTATAGCATCAAGAGATTTATCCTCAAATTTGCACGCTTGAATGTCTGAACGGACATAGATAATTGTACCGCCTCCTATTCCATGACATCTATCGGTTCTAAAGAAAACATAGTTATCTACATTCAAGGAATGATCGGATATAGATGAATTACATCACGTTTCCGTAATAAGTACAATGGTTGGATTTACAAGGAATAAAAGAGTTTTAAGATGAATAATTTTATTAGACAGAGAGCGGGCATTGAACGAAAGAATAAGAAACTCAGAGTCATCGTAGTGAAGCAGGTTAGAGTATAAATCGCAATTGGCAGTTCCATGAATACTCATAGGATTAGCTAAGGTAAGAGGCGTGTTGCGAGGGGAAATAGATTCAACCACTTTGTCATCATGTGAAATATGTTTACCGTTGCCGGCAGGAAAGCCGGCGGAATTACATAAAAAGTCTTCTCATTGCTATTGGACATAACATCTGATAAGGGCATACTGTACATATTGGGAGCCGGACCAAGAAGGCTATCAGGTCTATGGTTGTGACCAAGTGGCCAATTACAGTTCGGATAACTATTTATACCTGACGTATGGGTAACGTGTTTAAGACGTTTATTTCCAAGGTTTGTGGTTGATTTCGGCTTCTTTATAAGTTGGAGAGGATTGTGTACTGTTAAACATACTTGCGATGGTTTGCGAGGTTCGAATATATCAACGTTAAGTGCGTGGTCAGTTATATGAATGTTATGATTAGTTTTCCTGTTATCCGTTGCACAGTTACTGTAAGTGGGTGTTGCACTAACAGCGGTTTGGATTGTGTTATCCCATTTTTCATCAGCACAACTACTTCGGGTTGAATCTAAGTCAACATTTTTAAGAGGATGGACACCACCTACATCGGGATTACTTTCTTCTGGGTTTTGAACTTTATGAGATTCAGAATAGTTTTTCGGTGGCGGCATACTTGTAGAGATAGACGTCCTCTTAGAATCGGACTTAACTTTACAACCATTATGATTATGATGCGTTTGAGAGTTTGACGCTGATGGTCTGTAGTTATTTCTTCCCGCTTTTCGCTGGCATGGTATTTTATCCGGAAGAGTCTTAATATCCTTGAAAATCTGTTTTTGTCTCAATGAATTGGAGGAACTTAAAAATTCACTGGCGTCTACAGATGAGTTGAATTTGAACAAGATCGGTGAGTGCATACCAGGATGACTTCTTTTTAATCTTGTGCATACACATGGTACGTGTGTCATATTGCTGGCTCTAAGCAGACTAGATTTGATATTTTTAAGGGCATGTGTATCCGGTATATTAAACACAATTGCATTGCTAGATCGTCTTATTCTTTCAAATACCTCTGATGCAACACGATCTAGGAAAATATTTATGTCATTCATTTGATCTGGAGTCTTTGTGAGGTTGGGGTTGATGAGATATTTAAGCGGATTGAGAATGTTCATGTCTACTTGCAACTTTTTTATAGCATCCATATGGTTGCAGTTGCGATTATCATCGCTGTTTACCATCAGAGTTTTCAACATGTCTGGAATGGAGACAACTGGTAAAAGCTTGTCTGCTTCCGGATGAACGGAGTGGCTCGTCTCGTTGAAACTGTTGGAAATCGTATCAGTAGTGGTGTTAAATTGTGTCGTTTTCCTACGTTTGGCTGAGCGCCTAGGAGCAGGGGTCTTCATTTTCTTTTGTGGCATGATAAGAAAGTGACGTATAGCAAGTGGATTGAACAGAATGTTGGAAATACGGGTGAAAAAATCAATTCCGAGGGCTCAAGTTAGTCTAAAAATCAAAATCTATGTTTTAACCAAGAGTGAATGTATCGTGAGGATTAGCGGTGTTAAAAACAAAAGATGACAATGGCAGGAAGATAGTGATGGAGATGAAGTATTTATGTCAGTAACTGTGTGGAGGCAAAATAGAATATAAAGGAGCAAGTTGTATAAATGTTAACATATATATGACACGAAAGATAGCCTTATATAGCAAAGTAATTTAGAAATGTCGTTAATTAGTATCAAACAATCAAAAAAGTACGGTACGTGATACATATATAAACCGAAAGTCCGTATTAGTAAAAATCGGGAGGTGCAGAGACAAGTAGTTTAGAAGATTATTACCGTCTAAGATAATTGTGTTGCTTCTTGAACAAATATATGTAACAGCTTTTTGGAAAAAAAACAATGCCAAAAAAACTATGACAGACTCACCGAATTGGACAGGTAATTTCGGAAATGAAATAATTTATAGTATCCAAATACGATTTAAATGATAGTTCATAAAATAATGAATACAGTCCTTTAACATACACGGTTATATATATTTCTTGATATTAGGTAGAGGTTTGAATAGATCCTGTAGATACATAAAGTACGTGGATTAAGGCATTCAAATACGATATAACCATATATTCCTTAAGAAATAGAATACAGATATAGAATGCAGATCTTCGTCGAATATGATTATATATGGTTTCAAAGTGACAAAGTATAGTTTGATCGTATAGCTATGTGGGATAGAATTCGTAATTTTGAAGGATTTTAAAACATTTCACTTGACACTCACTTCCAAACAATCCAGTAAACATTAACAAACAATGGTGTTTATGTTTCTCCTAATGTGATTATGCATGATTAAAATGAGATGACGGAGAACATGTTCAACTCGAGAGGATAATTTCAGAAACTTGTCCTCAGGGATTTGTACTTTATTATAGAGCATTTATAGACGTAAGCAAAATCACCTCTCAGAGTACACTTGAAATGTTCTGCCTGCTCAAAGAATATATACAGTATTCAAACAAAATCCCTAATGCATTCTATCAATAATATTGTCTCCGTGAAGTGAGACTAAAAGAAAGCAGGCGTTCAAAGTTTCCTTCACAGTAGAACAGTAAAGCATGTGATTACTTCCCTGAACATAACAAATTCCAACACCGAAAACATATTATCAAAAATCACATAACCTATTCATCACTTTTGTAATTACGATTGTAATCAATGAAAACAGTTCTTCGAAAGTGTAATTTGAGCGTTATAAAGTCTACTAGCCACATGATTACAGTGACAGGTCGATATTGCTAATAACTCAAAACTCAGAATCCTTTTCATGTAACTTTGTATTCTTGATTCCAATTATCATACTTTTATTTTACAGAACCAAAAAAACCAAGTAAATGGGACACAGGTATTCCTACCAACGTTCAACCCCATGATACATCCTCAGAATCTGTTAAGTTATCTGTTCCTCCCGTTGGAAGTTTGATCAAACGAAATTAAAACTAATCCAAGTTACCAGATAATGACTTTGAAATACGCTGCTCTTTTTATAATTTTTCGAAAATATTTTTCAAGATGTTAATACAACAATAAAAGTGAAATACTCAACCGTGTTAATTTGTGTAAAAGAGATCATTTGCTCCAATCAACTAACTGTTAAGAGATAAACGTTTACGCAAAGATATAATGATTAGGATTAACTTGAGGTTCCTGATAACTGTCTTCCTGCGTTTTGTGATGTGAGGCTGATGCAGGTAAAGATGACGGTAGATTATGCTTTAGATCAGGTCTAACTTGTGTACCAGGAATGTTCTGATTATACAGTGCGTTGTTCGCGGGTGACCAATTCATGATAAACGAGTTTGTTGCTCGCGTCCAGTCATCTTTATAAACCTAAAATTGCAGAAAACTTCCTTGTTTTAATACTAAATAACTGAGATGCATTTTCTTAAATTACATATATTGTTCCATTTTCTAAATAACTGCCTGTTGTTATTAATCCATAACTTTGATTAACTGGTTAGTCTTATTTTCTGCTGAACATACTTTTACGAGTTATTCAATGTCATACGGTTAATGAAATATAGCTACACAGATATATTGCCTTAACTGCACTGTTACGGTAATTGGCCATGTGAAGTATAATGCCAATAAGGGTAGGAATACTTTTAGACATTTTAAAAAGAAGGCCGAGGAAATTAAAACGCTGCTACTACGAGCACAATGACGTGTATAAACTTCAGAGTATACCTAACTCAATCGAAAGAAATAATGTAACATCCATGTGATGGCTAACGGTACACCTTCTAAACAGTCATAATCCAAACAAAATATGAGACTTTGAATTGTACGTAGTAAGTGTTCACAAACAGCTGGAAATGTACAGAAAATACTAACATATATGAGCGCATAATTTGGTTTGTATTAGTTTAAATTGATAGTACAAATTATTATCGAATCTCAAAAAGCAGGCATTACCCAAAGCTGCAGAACAGTACCTAAAATCACTGAAATGAAAATATTTGTTCATTTAAAACTTAAATCTATGAACTTCAGATTTCCGTTCACCCGTAGATTATAATATACCGGACTCGAATTTACGAAATACTAAGCTTATTAGTTGCATAATGCCATCATACTTTGTCAATCTGGATAGAAAGTTTATTAATTTAATGTAGAATAAAAGACTTCGTGAAGAAATAAAAAAATTTGGAATAGGTTTTTTCAGAAAACAAAATGTTTGCAGTGCATTCTTTCTCTTAAAAATCTAAAATGTTGCTTCACGATTTATCTGCTCTATTTTCTTTTCTGACCGTACAATTGAAGTGATTAAGCAAACCGATGGGTTTACTTAAATTGTTAATTTCATTATGGTCAGTGAGCCAGTGGTCAACAAAATGGTTTGATAAATACAAAACTTCCATCAGGACTTTTGCAATTGGCACAACCTTTCGCTTAGTAAGGATATTTATTGGCACATGAAAAAAAAACGTTCATTGCAGTGGGTGTAAAACATTGACTCTGAAGGTTTATAACACTTATAGTTTACTAATATTTGATCATTAATGCTTTTGATAAATTCTTCGCAAGCGGAGGAACAACCAAATGAACAGCACCAGGTAAATATGATAAATTAGTCGATGAGGTAGTAATTTCACTTTAATCACGAGGAGTAAGATTGGGATAAAATTAAATAAATCTAAAATCCAACAACTAATGACGTAACTGCGCTCCACTAAACTCACCAAATTTTAGGATAAATGTTTTGGCAATTACATACTTTCCGGCTGTGATTCACACAAAATGCTTAAGACTGTGCTGAGAGCTCTTGATGGCATAGCTCAAAATCAAACACAATGTATTAGACCTTGATCTTCTCTAAAATCTTTACTTTAAAGTTTAAAGAAGATGGCATAAAATACCACAACTTTTATTTTCAGAAAAACGCGTGTTGACCACTTGACCTAATTTAAGAACCTGATCAGTCCTGATGTCTGATGAAATCTTTGCACATATTTAGAAGTCTGGATTGGCTCTTGCCAAATCGCATCACTTGTAGCGTGGGCGAGATATCTATATGGCGATCAAATAATGAGTTTACTGCGCAGAAGTTAACTCCTTCCTACTTCGTGAATGTGAAACATGGTCATTAAAAATAGATAATGTTCATGGGTTATAATTATTTGCCCGTAGGTTGCTTCAAAACATTCCTCATGCAAGCAGTGCCTAGATTAAAAATTAGGTAATGGGTATATATGGTAATTTAATTTACGTGGTAGTCAATCTTGAGACATATGTGATGTATACCTAACCACTGCCTACCGCAACAGGTGATATTGTCCGACGTGGGTGTAGGCTGGAAGTAAGCTACAGGCGGGCAAACGAAAACGTGGATTCAGTCACTGACAAGTGCATTGAGACATGTTGTCAAGTGTAGACTGCTTGGTAGGGGCCTGTGTGATGGTCATAACCAGTGATTAAAGACTCTGTACGAAATAGATCAAAACTGTACAAAGTGACACAGGTCCGTCCATTCTTTTTCCCCCCTCAGGTTTTAAGCTACCGAACTCCTCGTAATCTTTTTTATTGCACTAATTCATATTTACTTCAATTGTGTCTTTGACACCTAATCTCTCTTTATAAGTATGATACCATTATTCCGGGACTTCCCCAAATAATTCACATCCCTGTGTTGATGGTGTGTGGAAAGTTGAACAGGTGTACATCCGTGCCAGATTCTACGTTGTGACTGATTGACATTCAAAACAATTTTCTAAGCTTTTTATACCAGTATATCAGTGGATAAATTCCAGTATTTTTATGTTAATACTTTAATCAAGAACAACTTATAAATAACCATTTACAAATAGTAACTTTGACATTGAAATAGATGATACAAGAGAAAAAACCATCTAGAGAAAAGTGAAGTGTTCATCCAAAAACAATCCAACCAATCTCTAAGACAACATTAAATTATGCATACGTTTACGACTAAGAAAATGTCTATATAGTCCCACAAATTTATCAAGAAAATTATGCAGCAGTCAAAATACAAAACTCGACAACTACGTTTATTAAAATATGTATAAAATCATCAATATTTGTTTTTAAATTCCAATTCATAACAGGCGTCAGTTAGAATGTCAGGTTAATTATGAGTCAGAACTATAACAAAAACTACCATGGGGACCATTCCTCCACGATGACGTGAGTTAATTAATATTCTATGAGCTATCTAAGTTTTTCACATTTTCTTCTGAAACTAAGAGACAACACTCAGATCTAAAAACACCAATTCTTATACGGTTTGTTTATCAAGCTTGAAACCTTTTTTGCTGAACACTTATTATTTTATAAATATAGACATTACTGTCGATAAAAAGTGCGACCATTATGTAAGTACTGATCTGAGCTTGTAAGTAATTGCAAAATATATGATGAGTGTCTCCCAAATACCTCCAAATTTCCCTACAACTCAAGCGATTCTTCCCAAGATATAGTCAAACACATTTCTCATATTCAGTGTTGATTCAAATCAGACAACCAATGGTACACCAAACAATGAATATCAAATTAAAATTTCAATAGGACATGGAATATCCCAATCTCGTGATTTGAGGGAAAATGTTAAAAGTCTCGAAGAGATTTTGGGAAGCTGCAATGGAAAACTTTAAGGAAATGCAACAAAAACTTTGAAATTTCCCCTGATTTGGTTTTTTCACAGAAAAACTTAAAATTTCGAAGAAAGTGACAAAACGATTTAGGTAAATTTTGGTTTTCTCCAATATTTGCTTGAAATTCACCCAAAATATGGAAATTACAATAAATCAATCACTATTGGCCGACGTTTCCATAAAAAAAACATGAAAGTTATAGAATAAGCAGTTACCGCTCTGGTTAGTAAGCTTTTGAATTTGCTCTGAAATTGTTAAAAGGCACAAATAAAGTGTTCCGTAGTCAAGTTGAGGTAAATGTTTGGACCTCCACTCCTGATCATTGATCCTATTCATAAAACGCTCAATGGAGAGGACATGTATATCCTTGAGTATGCTACAAATTTGTGTTAAATATCATGTAAACATACTTGTACAGGCTGTTTTGAAAAAATTTCAACAAGCTAGTTATATCATTTGAGGATGGCAAATTACTTGCATTGTTCACCAACTTGAAACAAGCTTCATTCAACGCCTTTAACTTTGTGGTGTCTACAGTGATGAATGTATGACTAAATTCTTTTTTATCTTACATGCATGAGACTTAATATTTGTCATTTATGCGACTACTTGTTCAAAAATCCAAGGTAGGGTCTCATTAGAAGTCAATATGAGTAGCGAATTAAAACAACCCGGAACGGGTAGGCAGAAAACATTTATGTTATATTTTACTAAAGGCTGCAGAACAGACGATAGTTGTTCGTTTGGAAAAATCTTCTATTTTAACCTACTATACTTCAAAAGGGAAAATGATATTGCTTTCAGGTAAGAAAATAAACACAGATATCCTCATTACTAATAATAATGGCTTTATTCGATATTATATTTCGGTACAATATCTACTTTTGCTTGCATCCATGTATTTTTATGTAATTATGTTTCGTTCTACCAGAAGATATACAAGGAGAAAGATATGAGTGAAGTAAATGGTAAGTATCTGCTAAGAGCACACCTTTCGGGAGTTTGCGTAACTTTACATGTCTATCCACATTCACATTAATCATGATTTCGAAAGTATCACCACACGCCTTGTTAACTGCCTTCGGCACTCTCCGCAATACAGCAAAGTCTTTGCTCAAAAGCCCGGGAAAGAATAATGGAGAACAATAAAAAATAATAGGTAATATGCAAGAATCGACAAATTGTAAGAGTAAATGACGAGTAATCCCAAGAGCATGCAATCTCTTTATGTAATAAGTTGGACGGAAAACCTTATTCCATAACAATAAAACGTGAGAAGACCAAAAGAGATCAGAACAAAGGATAACACCAAGATGATTCACTTTCGATACTGTGTTTATCGAAGAGTCTCCAATGGCATAGGCATTATAAGATCCCTAAGTGGAGTTTAGATGCCGTTAATATCTGACGCTAAAGTTAATAGTTTGACATTTGGGCGGACTAAGTATGAGACTATTAACAACAGACCAACAATCAATACGAGACAAAAACTCATTCATTTCTATGAGATGTAAAGTGGTAGAGATTGGCTTACGAACAGTAAGATCATCCGCATATTTCAGAAACGTGTTTACTGCGGAATATGGCAGATCATGCAGAAGAGAAGAGAAGAGGTGAAATAACAGCTCCTTGTGGTAAACCTCCATGAGACAGTAGAGATTCTGAACACTTCACTCCAAACACAGTGTACTGTTCCCTTCTAGAGAGACAGGAACATAACCAATTGATTAGCCAGCTGTCAGTGTTGACTCTGATTGACTTGCTAAGTAAACGTTGTTATGGTATAGAATCGAAAGCAGAACTATAGTCCAGAAAAGCGCATCGGACATACTTCTTACCCTTTTCTAAGTTAAACACTATATTGTGATGCAGGACAGCAGTGGCATCTAAGGTGCTTCTTTTGCATCTGCAAGCAAACTGATACGGATAGATGTTCTATTTTTCTGTAGGTTGGAGCGAGAGTGTCAATAATTTTTCTATTGTTTTGAGGAAAAGTGAAGTTATTACTTAGGGTCTAAATTTCACCTTATCACAAGATATTTTCTTATGTATAGGAATTATCTTTATCTTTCTCCACATTTCCGGGAATGAGATTAGATCAGATGGATCCGTTAAAAAACACTCGTGAATGGACAGCATAGGACGTCAGTACACTTTTTAAAAAGGAAGTTTGTGATACCATAGGGTACATACAATGGAAGTTTGTGATACCATAAGGTCCTAAACACCGGGATGAATTAAGTGACTGGAGACCTCTTCGGACACTAGTTTCAGTGAAACTAGGAACACAACTATTCTTTAAACCTGTGGATATAGGGTGCTTTGTATCAGAAGACTGACGTACAAAAGACTTGTTTAAGCCACAAACATTCAGCTGGTTATCGCTGCTAATGTACCTGCCACCTGTAAGTTCTTCAAAATATTTCAACACACTTGAAGAGTTTTTACAAGACAGGAGTTTTAGAGTAAACATAGAGTTGAGACGTCTAATCTCTAGGTTTATTAGATCATTCATCTTACGAACTTCAATAGAGATTTTCTGGCAGGGGAAAAACGTCAGACTCCTAAGCTGCCCGCCATTTCGTTTCAACGACCTTGAACGGTCTGACAAGAGGCGGTCATTCCGTATTTCGATTGCCATGGGTTTGTTGGGTTGCATGAGTACTATGTTTTCTTCATATTTAAGTCTTTTTCTGCATTGAAAAGCAGAAAATAACTGCTAAAAGCAATAATTTTGCATCCTCTGTTTTGTAGTGTACACGTTGGCTCTGTTGTTGTTTCGTTAGTTGACCTGTGAACCCAATTGCTGTAGTAAACCTCAACGAAATGTCAAGTCATCAGTAAGTCTTAAATATTTGTAGTACTTCCTTCAGTTGTTATTGTTTTAACGGATAAATTTTTATAATTAATGATTGATGATTGTGGTGCTTCTTGTTCACGTGATGTTTCAGTCGAATTATGCGTTGCTGAACAAGCGTTTCGCAAGCTGGGATAACTTTGATATATCACTAAAAGTGTTCCGAAAAGTATGGAGTAAGAATTATATCACTTCCCAGACTATCCGTACTCATTATATCCACAGAGAAAGCAAATTGCTCGAAGATTTCAGATTCAATCAGCCTCTTGTGACATCTCATCTGTGTCTGTACTCCATTCGACTATAACCCCCGCCCATTTTTAATGTTTCCTTAATTCTAACACCAAATAATCTTTAACCTGTCCATGCACACGCACATATATGTATACAATTATTATTGATAATCTAGTTCATTAAAATTCTTTATTTTTTCTTATGTCGATTGTTTTATACTGAAGATGCCACAGGTATTCAGAGTTTGACAACACTTTAACCAGTGATACTTTCCAATATGAAGCGTACCCACCAAGTGAAATCAAAAGACAGAAACATGGATGTTTGAAGATATACTTGATATGCCTATTTAAACAACTTTTCTCATCGCAACTTCCTCAACAGGTGCAAGCTGCGCTTGTCTCGTTCCACAACAACGCCTCAGACGAGCTAGCTGCATCTGACTACCGCATTTAAGAGATCGTAAAATCTGCTAATGCGAAGGTTTTTTCAGTCAAAGAAAAGCCTCAAACAACCCAGAATGAAATTACAGAGTTATGCCAAACACTTAAACGTTATTTAAGATTTCGTAACGACTATAAACGGTCACACACTTTGCGAAGGAGCACTTCACGTAGGCGATCTGTCTCTAGACCACGAGAGACGGATAATCCCGACTGGTGCTGGTATCATAATCTGTATGGAAAGTCTTTCAGAAATTGCAGAAAACCCTGCAATTTTCTCAACTCCCATCTGACCGGCACGCAAAACAACTCGGGAAACTTCCAAGCCGCCACGCATTGACGGCAACCGTAGCCGGCGAACATAGCCGTCTGTTATACGTCACAGATGTGACAACGAGAGTTCGCTACCTCGTCGAAACTGGCGCAGAAGTTAGCGTTTTTCCTGTGAATTGTGACGACCGGCTTCGCAAATCAGTTTTAAGCTTACAGGTGGCAAAAGGTACGTTTAGCTTAACGTGGGTTTGCACAAACCCATTCACTGGATCTTCCTTGTTGCAGGTGTTTCTATGCCAATTATAGGTATGGACGTTCTACAACACCATATTCTAATCATCGATACGCGCAAACGGAGGATAGTAGATATAAATATTAATTTATCTGTTTCAGCAACTTCTTTTTATGGTTGCAGATTATCTGTAGTCACAATTAAGCACACAATAGACCCATCCTATCAATCACTATTCGATAAGTATTCTGGGATATACCAAACGCAACCGAAATTGCCGTGTGTAACCAGCAATGTTATACATCACATCACGACTACAGGACCACCTGTATTCTCTAAAGCACGACGACTAGCTCCTGAAAAGCTAAGGTTAGCGAAAACGAGTTCGATCACATGATAGACTTAGGAATCATACGACCGTCAAGTAGCCCATATGCATCCCCGTTGCACATGGTCCCTAAAAAAACAGCAACGATTGGCGTCCAACTGGTGACTATCGGCGATTGAACGCGAAAACCATTCTTGATCGTTACCCGTTGCCTCACATTCACGATTTGACAGCTACCTTGAAAGGTACAACTGTCTTTTCGAAAATCGACTTGGTTAAAGCGTATAACCAAATCCCTATGGCTACTGATAATATTCCGAAAACCGCCATCATAACTCACTTCAGACTCTACGAATTTTCGCTAATGTTTTTCGGTCTAAGAAACGCTGCTCAAACATTCCAAAGGTTCATAGACGACGTTTTTCGAGGTCTCAACTTCAAATATGCGTATCTTGATGACTGCGTAATAGCAAGTACGGACAAAGAATCCCATTCACAGTATCTAGACCTTGTTTTCGAACGACTACGAAAACATGGCATTACCATAAACATTCAAAAAATGCTAAATCGGAATCGACTCATTAGACTTCCTAAGAAACACTATTGATGAGCCGGGCATCCAACCCCTTAGAACCAAAGTGGCGGCCATTCTGGATTACCCAGAACCGACCACCGTCAAGCAATTTCGCAAGTTTAACGTCTTTGTAAGTTTCTATAGACCGTTCGTACCGAAATGCGCGTCAATTATGAAAGCGCTAACTGACCAGCTTCGTGAAAATGAGAAATCCATCAATCTGGGCGAGACTGCTCGAAAAGCATTTTCCATAGTTAGAGAACTTATATCAAAGGCAAGCATGCTCACACATCAGGACACTCAAGCGCCTGTTAGTATCGCAGTAAACGCATTCGACTCAGCAATCGGAGGAGCCTTACAACGATGGGTTAACTACTTCTGGCAATTTTTAGCTTTCTTCTCGAGACGAATGCTAGACGCTGAAACGAGCTACAGCACTTTCGGTAGGGAACTTCCAGCTATGTACTGTGCTGTACGGTATTTTCAACACTTTCGAAGGTCGAGACTTCACCCTTTCTACTGATCATAAACCGCTTACCTTTTATTTAAGCTCATCGTCAGAAAAGTAATCACCCTGTGAGTCTCGACAACTGGACTACATTTCACAGTCTACTTCAAATATACAACACATTTCTGGAGCAAACAGTGTAGTCACA